TCCTAATTCATCCTCAGCAAAAGACCCTTGTCTCATTTAAACTGGGACACAGGTTAAGACCAATTTACTGGAAACAACATTGAGATAAGAAAATGAACAGTAACAGCAACAATATTATCAACAAAAAGTATAAGAAAATAAAACAATTTACATGGAAAGTCTCCAACAGTAAACAAATACTGGACTGCTCTGCCCACCACATTTTCTTAACTGGAAGGAACCCCTTTTCCCCAGAAGAGAGAGTCCCTTTCTTTCCCCCAATCCCAGCTGAAATAGTTAATAAAGGCAAAGATAAATAATTTGCTAATCAAATTATCTTTGCAATGTTAGTGTTAGTGGTTAGTTTGAATTACAAATGCCAAACCACAATGTTATGTTACTATGGAAAGCTATATCTTACTATGTTAAACAAGTTCTGAATGTAAGCTTTAAATGAGCCTATAAAGATATGGATAAGGGGACATAGCCGAACGGTACAGCCCCCGGCACAGGCTGTTGCAGCCGAGCGAGGAGCGGCGGAGCAGCCGTGGCAGCAAGCTGCCCGAGGGAGGAGCCGGCCCGAGGGAGGAGCCACTCGCCCCGTTCCGAGAGCAGCCGCTGCCATCTGAGGACCACCTCCATCCGGGACCTGCCACCCGGAATCCAGGCGCCGCCTAAAGGGGAGGGAATAGCGGCACATATAAAAGATTATTGCACGTTTTTGGCGGGAAGACCGTTGGTGGAACAGGAGTTTCCCCGGGTCTTCCAGCGCGCTGCTTTGCTTATTTGCCTTCAATAAATTTCTACAATATATTTAAAAGAAAAAATTTATATCTGGTCATTTGACTATAACACCAGCAATGATGTGAGGTGGTATAGAATAACATCTGGGCCCTAGCCACACCCCCTCTCAGCTACTGCAAAAATTACCATAGTCCTGGTTGAAACCAGGACCCTTAAGTTATTAAGTGTTGTTAAGTGCTGTTGGGCCTTTAGGCATAAACTGTTGGTCAAGTCCAGGCTCAGTTTATAACAGGGGTCTACTCTGAACTTTGTGGCTCAAGAGGAGGGTCTTTTGTATTCTTTTTTATCCTTACCCTTTCCTATACTTTTCTCTCTGCTCCCCCCCCAACCCCCCACCTCCATGTGGATAGTTTGGGTTTATTTAGGTTTGGATTGATGTGTTTTGGATTTTTGTTTGCTGTTTCTCAATGTGCTTTAGCTATGTAGTAAGTAGTAAAGTGAACCTTGCCAACAAACTTCGTTGTGCTTTCGCTTTTATATTAAACCTGTTTTTGCTGATACCTTTGTCAGTGATCACTTAAGCGACCTTAAAACGCTCATTTGCAGCACCCCCAAAGCCCTCTGATCCATTTCTAGAAAGGTCTTAAAGAATGGACTGCGCATGATAACTAATTTGCCTAGAAAGCAAGGGAAAACCTATTTATAAAAAGGTACCCACCCCCCCCAACCTGGGTGGAGCCCCTAGCACCCTGGACATCCCATCAGCTGGATTGATGCTGCAACTAGGACTGCTGCTCTCTTTTTCTCTCTCTTCCTCTTTAATTAATCTCTTTCTTTCTCTCTTTATCTTAACCTTTTATCCAAACCCCACTGCCCTGTGCTTATATAGTAGGTCAGGGACTAACATACCTATTTCCATGCCAAGTGTGCAATTTACTAATAAAACTTTGTGAATTTTTGTGGACCCTCTGACTTCTGTTCCTTTTGACCACAAGCATTTATGAATTTTTGGTGCTCCTTTCCCCTTAAGGATGGGATGTCACACTTGGTCAGTTATGGATTTCTGGCAAGTGTTCTGGACTGAGGAAGAAAGTTGATTTGTTCTCAGTCATTTCTGGGCTACCTATGCTAACCTTCTTTTCCCCAACCCAAAGATCAAATACTTTGGGATTGACCTAAACCTGTTAGAAAAAGGTTTTATCTGCCAGGTCAGCTTCTGCTTTTAAATCAAATACTTTGATACTCCAGTAGTAGATGAGATCCAGGAATGAATCTGACTGAGCCCTTCATCCTATGAGAGGATGCATGCAGAGATGCCCATGCAGAGCCCAATGCAGATAGTGAGGTCTCACAGACATACATCCACCCACGCTACTGTAAGAAATAAATGAGATGGTTTTATTACAAGCAGGGTTTCCATGGTTACCTGGTGTTGAGGAGTTTTTGTGATCGGGGGTGTTCTGCAGTTGCCTGTGGCTGCAGCTCTGTTGCAGCCATAATCTGTTATAGTTACTAATAGTTGTGATCCTGTTACTGTTACTTACAGTTACTGTATAAAGGCTAACCGGGAAGCCTGTAAGACAATGAGACCAGCCAGGGCTCATTGCTGAGGGACCTCATGGCTGGGACAGGGAAACAACGTGATAGGTCGGTTAAGACAACCAATGGACTGGCAAAGGGAAGTGTGAGCTGGCCCTGAGAGACCCAATCGATCTCAAAAAAAGGGCTATATCACCTTTTAAGGAAGAAAAGGAGCAGAGCTGAGCATGGGAGGAACAAGAGAATAGTTATGCAAATCAAGAAACCTTAAAAGAACTGCTCCCTCCCATCTTGGGTGTGCTCTCAGGCTCTGGCACAAGGCTGACTGCACCCAGCATGCTGAAAATAAAGTTCTTTGTTTCACTTTATTTGGCCATCGTCGAAATTTTAATTAAAGATATTTCTCACACTACTGCTCCAAGAGTAGGGTTAGGGCAATGAAGGTTAGCAGATGACCTCACTTTATTGTTTGAACTGAGAGAAGACCAAATAGTAAACCAAAAGGAAAGAGATAACAGTTACAGGTAAGTATAATTGAAATAATTTTTTAAACCTTTTAAAAACAGGTATTTCAACCTGTCCATTTAGCATCCTTAAAGATTCTGACAGACTGGGGACATCTCAAGTGCCCTGGAAGTGTCATACACTGTAACAGTGACAAAAAGGCATAATATAACGATGACCAAAGACCTTTGTAGTCTCACAGGGATGCAACAGTACTGTGACACAGTGTGGGGTGCTGCAGCTTTGGGACATGCTGGTTTGCCTGAGTAGGGTGGCAACACATAGAAGTGCCATGGAACATGCAGGGTGTCACTGGCAGAGTGATGACATACCTCAGTGCGGGAAGAGAGCAATGCAACATGATGCAACAACACAGCAAGCAGTGCCAAGAAGGGGCTGTGCTGAGCCCCCATGTCCCACCCAGCCCTGTGGGGTTACAGCTCTGCATGGCACCCTGGAGGGAAAGGAGCTGGGCTACACATTGTTATGGGTTACCAGCGATGCCTGAAATAAATTAATGAGGTCAATTTACAATAACAAGCAAATTTATTAGCAAACGGTAGATAAACAAATTCAGCGCGCTGGGGGGAGGGGGGGGACGACGGGGGACGACGACACGACGGGACCGTTTAGAACAGAAGAAAGTTCTCTCACAGCTCGCCACCACTCCCAAGCTCTCAAATTTCCCTTTTGAACTCTCCGGGTTCCCGTCCAGACATGCTCAGTGCTTAGGTTCTTATTCATACATAGTCCGGGGCATGTGCTTTTTGCACATGCTCAGTTGCAAAGTTTTCCCCATACATGTTCCTGGGCTGTGTTACCAGCGTAGGTGGGCTAGGGGTTTATTTGTGGGCCGGGGTCTTCTGCGATGAAGGTTTTTAGTCTTTCTCGGTGTCCGCAAGACGACCCCGATTTGGAACATGCGCATTTAATAGGTATTTTTCCTCCCCTTCCAGGCTTATCGTATTCATAAATCACTTGGACTCCTTGTTTAGAGAAATTTCTCTATGTCTCCGGCTTGTCGGCTTGAGTTATGTTAACAGGGTGTAGTTATTTAAAGTGCCAGACTACCCCCCCTTCATTATCAGCCTCGGGAACAAACGGCAGTTTGTTAGAAGCATTTAACAGCTATGTGGTGTAATAGAAGGGTTAACTTTGTTCGTAAAATCTTATGTGTATGAGGGAATAAGGAACTTTTGTTATAATTCAACAAGACATGGACATCCTGCTAATCAAGCAAGCGTCAGTAAAAATAATTGCAGACATCTTGCTAAACAAACAAGTATCAGTAAAATTTACAACTGATAAGAACTGCACCTTTCATCTCTGACAAATACCAGATGACCACTTAACAATGAGCCACGAACTCAAGCCTCAACGCAGCCGCATTCAAAACTCGGGACTTGGAAATGTATAAAAAGGAACATTTACTACATTTTGTGTGTGCCTCGGCAGGGCACTTGCCCTCCAGGCCACCCAGCGCTGTTTTGCTTTATTATCGCTTGCTTAATAAATTTATCAATGTTTAATTGGAATTGAGTTGTTTAAATTCTTATACTAACTTATAACATGTGGGAAATACACATGGAAATCACACATCAATGTCCTGAAGTTTTACTAAGCTTAACAAAAAAATCCCTTTAAAAAATATATATAATTTATTACACGCATGACAATGTAACGTGGTGATACTGGGAATGGTGATGTCATTGTGGACCTGGTGTCACACCAGTGACACTGTGGCATGTGCTCAGAGCAGGAGCTGAGAGCAGCAGAGACAGCAGGGCCGCATAGCGACACTTCCTCGTGTGAACCTCTATCCCTCCACAGAACGAAGCACTGCAGTGACGCCATTCATGGCACCGGTGGTGAGGTCACCACGGCGCTATCACACGGGAGCGAGGTGCCGTTCTGCTACGATGCCCATTCATGTCAGACCCTCACCTGACGGTCCCTGTCACCCACTTTGCCTTGACAGGGCAGCTACCGCAGCAGATCCCCACCACCAGCCGCTCCTCACAATTGACCCGCGCCCTTCCCGCCAACGCAAGTCGATAACGGCAACCACGGCAACGCGCCGGAAGCGGCTTGCGATCAATTCGGCCGCAGAACGCCGTCAGTATTGACTATTCCTTTCCTCTCCACCTTCCCCCGAAGTGTCCCCCCTCCTCCCGAGGGAGGGAATTGTACGTTCCGGGGGCGGTGAGGCGAGGGCCGCGGAGAACCGAGCATCCAGATACCGGAATTATTGTCAGAACTCCCTCCTTTCATGAATATGCAAATGTGGGGCGGGGCGGTGGCGGCCGGGCCCGGAAACGGCGCGGCTGAGTCACTTCGGCGGCGACGATGATGAGGCAGAATCTGTGGTAGGCAGCGCCGTTGTCGTCGTCGACTTTCAACGCTTGAGGAATCTCCCCGCGTTCGGTCTTCTTTCCGCCTTCTCTCCACCATCATGATGGAGGAGATAGACCGGTTCCAGGTGCCAGCCGTTCGGGCCGAGATGCAGCCGCTGGTGAGGGGGGACTGAGGCCGCGCTGTCTCTGGGAGCTGCCGCCTCACCATGGGGATGTGTGCTCCCATGGGCCGCGATTGTTGTGTAACGGCAGTCATCTCCACCGGCATCTCCCTAGGTGCTGTCGGTAGCAAGGGCAGAAGCCACCCGAGGGGGGAAAGAGGGGCGGCGGGCGGGCAGGCAGGCAGGCAGGCAGGCAGGCAGGCAAGAGGGGCTCTGGTCCTGCGTCGGTTGAAACGTCGCTTCTTCAAACGCAGCCACGTCCTGAAACGCCCCGTCCTGGCTGGTGCATGAGGCCTTTCGAGCCGCCTCGGCCGGTAGGCTCCAGCGCGGGGGAGGGGAGTGCTCCGGGGGAGTGGGGAGTGGCGATAAGATTGAGAAGCCCGTCCAGGTAAGGACAGGTAGCCAGAGCATCTGAGCGGCTGGAGCCGCAGAGGACTGGTGAGCATTTAGTTGACTTTTACAATGTACATGAGAATTGGGCGATGTTTGTGCGCAGTCCGGTCTGAGAGGTGCTCCCTAGAGATGGGATATCTGCATGGGATGGGCATTAAATATGCATATCTGGCGTGAGTAGTGGTAAGAAGCTGCGGGACGCTCTCTGTACCTGATTTTATAGCCATTGCTCTAGTGGAAAAGTGCTATTAGATACTCGTTGTGTGAAAAATTCAGATGTTCTGCAAAGAAACATCTCTGTCAAATTGCAGTTTTGATCACATAGAATTCTTTATGTAAAGGAAGCAATCTGTAAGGGGTTGTATTCTTTTTCCCATGTCAGGGCATGTGTTTTTCATTTTGGGATGGGTTTTTTTCCCACTTCATGGAAACAATTATACTCAGTTAATGAGCTCTGAAGAAGTTGACATAAAGGTTACACTACTAACATGGGACCCTGGGAAATCTTTGCTTAGAAGGCTTGTGGGACTTTGTGGCTGCATAACTGGGCAGGTAGAGTGGTCCTGGGCTCTTGGTGTCTTCTGAAATGATGCTTATGAAGGATGGCCAGCTGGCTGGTAGCCATGGGAGATGCTAGATCATCACCAAGTAGTCTTGGTGATGATTTCTTATGAGTGTGTAGGTGCTTTACTTTGACGCTAAAGGCTTGCTTGTGTGTGTTTTGCCCCAACTGCATTCTGCAGAACACTTGAATGTGGTTATGTTCGTTTCCAATCTGGGAAAGGTTCCCTTATGTGTTCCTCTCCACTTAATCCAGTCTGCCTTGCTCTCTGCTTGAAGGTGCATTGTTATGTGCAACCTGGGACCTGTTGAAATACAGTTCACTTTGGCATTAGAGCTGGATATGGGCTGACTCAAGATGTTGATTCACTTTGGCCCCTGGAGTAAGCACGTTCCATCTTAGCATCCAATTGCGTGAGACGGTGGTATGAAATATTCACAGAAGTGGAAATAACTTTAATAAAGTACTTGTACAGATCCTTTTGACAGCACATGAGGATAGGTTATTGGCAGCTTCATGTTAGCACTGAAGATACTACTCAGATTTCTAGTATATCAAATTGTACATTATTTAGAGTTGATATACTAGTCCTTGGTTTCTTGTTGCAACTAGTGTTTGCAAAAAGTTGAGAACAAAATAATTGTCTTGTGAACAGAAAGACAGTCTACACATTCAAATTACCCCTCAACGGCAAGCAAACCACTTTTCTTATGGTGGGAGTGTTGAAAAATTGAAAATGTTTTTAGTCTGGTGGTGGTGTTTTTTGTTTGTTTTTTTTAGATTCGAACCTTTGTGGTGGGGAAGAAAACCATCCATAAAAGCTGATGTAGACTTGTTGCATGCCTTGTTGTATGCCTTGTTGTGTGTGTTTTTTGTCAAGCAGAGGCAGCATACGTGACAAGGCTGGCCCTCTATTCATGTTGAGGGCAGTAGGCATGGCAGTGAGATTAGGAAGTTTGGAAAAGTTGTTGGCAGACAAAAAAACATACACATAAGTATTTTCTAGAAACCCCATGATAATAGTAGAGGGGTGGAATTGGCTTGTGCGGGCACATTTGCATTGCCATGGAATGACCAGAACCAAAGAGATGGTCTGGTCCAGCCCTGCTGTTGCAGGGTGGGTTGGTATATTATGCAACTGTCTTAGTAAGCTTTGGAAATAGCTTTCCTTCTTCAGCAACCAAGAATGAAGAAATTTTCACAAATAGATTTAACACTTGAATTAAAAGAGTATTCTGAACCTTTGTTTCAGGGTTTCAGTTCATTTTTAACTAATGGAGTGCATAGTGAAACCTTGTGTATGTCGGGGGCTGTTGCTAGGACTGGATGTGTGGGATTCTTTTTCATGCCTGGAAATGCTGGCATTGGGCTCAGAAGTGGGACAGAGCAAGTCTGGTACAACATTCCCAGTGTCTTTGTCTTTTTTGTAACATCTGGTCTGTATTTGGCAAGTAGAGACTAGATGCTTGCAAGAATCACTGCAGTTCAGAAGCTGGCTGAGGTTTATCATACTGATTTGCTTTGGTAACAGTTCTGCCCAATACTGCTACTTTATTCTGTTGGAGTTACCATTTGACCCTTCCCTCTCCCCTCCGTTCCATGCTTTTAAGTATAGAATAACCTTAGCATCTCAGGATTTTTTCTCTTCCCAGTATAAAAGCTTTCAGTTTCACATGGTCTTAGGGACAGATGGGTCATCCAATGTTGAAGGCCAAAGGAGTCTGGCAGTGTTTTCCTCATCCAAAGGGCTGAGGTAGAAGTTTGTTTTCCAGACATAACCTGAACTGTTATGAACTACCACTAAAACTATCAAAAACTGTTTTGAAACATGGTCCCCTGCTGAAAGGAAATGGAGAAGGTCCCTTGCCCAGTCTGAAGTGCATATACTATAAGAAATATTTTTTGATCTTGTTTAGGCTGGAGGGTATCCTAGGAGAGCACTGGTCCCTTTGAGTCTGGCCAGTACCTGGTAGTGTGAAAAGGGTCCTGAAGTGAGGTTTGTAAAGCTAGGCTTTTCTTGAAATCCTTAAAAATTTGTGTTCTTGATCAGCATGTATACTTTTGAATGTCTGTTCATCTGTGTAGACAAAGTGTCATCTTACCTTTTCATATCTTCATGTAACTCCAGGATAACTGTCAGAGATCTGCCTAGAAACAATGTGACAGGCAGACCTGCTGATCTGCTAATGTTCGGAATGAAGTGATAGGTATGCTGTTCAATACTGAAGGGAAGCCATTCTTAGAAAGTAGTCTGAAGCTTTTTTGAGCCCTTCAGCCTCCAAACCTGCCACTGACACTGGCACTATTGATCAGCTGTCTGAAATCCTCCTAAGCCTGTGACTCTAGCATACACCAAGCACTGGTGCATACATCAGCATACAGACTGGTATATGATGGCAAATTGACAGATGATGGTGTTGGATCACATGTTGCTCCCATACACTGATGCAGACAGTTTCTGTTCTTAGCACAAAAATGGAAGTAAACATGCTCTTGACCACATGGCACCAGTATGACTTTTCCAAAGAAAAAGCACCTGTCAAAGTGAGCAGCTTCAGAGGAGCTTTGCCACAAATTTGTGAGACTTTGGCTTGCTTTCTGAAAGTGACAGGAATAACATAGTATTTTAGTTTCCCAATCCTCTGCTTACGTGAAAAGGGGGAGCTCTTTCTGGAGAAATTGGGTTGATGGTTCTTAGATCTCATTCTGAAGTATTGTGACCAGGCTGTGGGACCTTGGGCTGGTCGCTCTAGTTGTAAAGACTACAACCAATCCAAGGATTTTGCTTAGCCACATCCTACAGTTGTTAGCTTTCTAACTGAGATGCCAAATCTATGCTGGTCCTGGAGGTGTAAAATTTTCTGAAACTTTGAAGGATACAGAAGATGCATTTCTATACAGCTTTCTTTGAACATTAGAAAAGAAAAAAACTAGACTGTCTACTGGATGCTTAGCTTTTAAAAAGTAAACGATCATTTTAATCTGTGGACAGTATGAGTGTTCATCATGCTTATAAAATCCACATTCATTATTTTTGGAAAATATTGACTGTTTCACCTGAGGGAAGTGTTAAGACCTTTTTGTTTTGTCTGATGCATCCCTAAAATAGGGGGAAAGAGCACAGGCACAGGGCAGTGGGGTTTGAATAAAGGGGTAGGGTGAAAGGGAAGAGAGAAAGTGAGAGATTAATTAAAGAGGGGGAGAGAGTTACAAAGAGATCAGCAGTCCTAGTTCCAGCATCAATCCAGCTGATAGGGTGTCCAGAGTCCTGGGGGTGCCCACGCACCCAGGCTTCATGGGGGTACCTTTTCATAGGTAAGTTTTCCCCACCCTGGAGATAAGTTTCTCGCTTTCTATACAAATTAGTTATCATGCGCAGTCCATTCTTCTGGACCTTTATGGAAGTGGGTCAGAGGGCTTTGGGGGTCTTTGGTGGTCCCCCTACAGTCCATGCCCACTTTTCAACCTCATTCCTGTGCCTGTGCTGTACTGTGGTGTGCATATCTCCAGGAGCCAGAACAAGGACATTTGTCCCAGAAAAGTGCTGCCCTACCTCTGTATGGCCCCCCTCTCCAGCCACATCCTGTTCTTTTTCACAGTATGTTATTACCAGCAATCTTTGGTTGGCTCCGCAGCTATCTGGCCATCAGTATTTGAAACATACACAGTAGCCCTTTATCTTCTATACCACCCCGTGGCTCAAACATAAATATGGACTTGGTGACCCATTGAAAAAGGAAAAGAAGAGGGAGAGACAGAAAGGGGCAAATGCATTCTATAAGTAATCTCTAAATTTTGGGGATAATCTCTCTATAATCCCCCACATTTTAAAGTATAATTTGATTACCAAAATGAAAAGCAGGGAGTTAACATTAAAAAAAAAAACATAGGATGTAACATCTTGTTAAGAATTCCCATTGCTGTTGGCAACCATCCAGATTAAATGTCCCACTAATGGTGTTCCCTGTCTTTCTTCACTTGTTCCTATAATTGCTGGATTTCTTCCACATCATTATGAATGGTAATCAGTCTTTTGTCCATA